CTCCTCCGTCTGCTGGTAGAGGCTGAACATGAAGTCCAGCACCGTCTCGCTGCGCAGCACCTTGTGGCTGACGTCGGTGCACAGCATGATGTTGTTCTCGTACTGCAGGATGGAGGTCGTGAAGCCCGGCCAGATCACCAACCTGCGGGCACATGTCTGTGGGCACCCGCCCGCCCGCTGAGGGCGCCCCGCTGACCCCCTCCCCCCGTGTTTTACAGGCTCCACGTGAAGACCCGGCCCTGAGACGTTCACCATGTTGAGCTGAAAGTCAGTAACTAACTTTATTTAAGTGTCCGTGTCCTGCCCGAGACGAAGCGGCCGGTCTCACCGAGAGCGTCTTGGGTTCTCGTTATCGCACCCAGCCCTGGGCGCCACCTGAGGCGCTGAGCCCTGAGGCCACGGCCCCAGCTGGCGGGCAGACCCAGCGCGTGTGAGGTGGCGGCGACACCCGTGACACCCCATGGCCGTTAAGGCCCACGGGGTCTGGGAGGTCTCCTGTGATTCGAGGCAAGTCCAAGCTTCCCCCCGCCCCCCCGGGGCACCGCTGACGCCGGCACTCAGCCCGTGAGAGAGCCAGGAGCGCCGGCCACACACACCTGTGGTTTGGGATGTCAATCGGGTCGCTTGGGTTGTAATAATTCCGTCCAATCTGCTGCAAATTCATGATCTTCAAGAGCCTGGGAGGTGAAAGGTCAGAGCAGAGGCGTGAGCATGGGGAGGAGCACCGCCCCACCCCGGAGCAGGCACAGCCCCGGAAGCTGAGAGCGGCGTTCATGACACAAGTTCAAAGCGTGTCTGAGTGTCAGCCCAGAGGGGCCGAGCCGGCAGGATGTACTGCCTGAGCTCGTGCGGTGGAGTCGGAGCCAGGGAGGAGCTGTGGCCTCGCACGCCCCGCCCCGTGCCCTCGCACCCCCCGCAGCCTCGCACCCCCCTTTTCCTCAGGAGCCGGCGGGGCCGTAGGTACCTCCTGAAGATGATGTTGTAGAACTGCAGGCAGGTGGGCGAGGTGGGCGGGAGCTCGTTGGTCAGCGTGATGGTGATCCTCACATGCTCCCCGTTCCGGGTCTGGCTGAACACCTCGGTCACCTGAGCCAGGGTGGGGGGCGCGGGGTGTGTGTGAGGGAACCGACTCCTCCAGGCCAACAGCCAGGATCCTGGAAAGCGCTCAGGCCTGGCTGCGGCCCGCCCCCCCGCCACCCTCTGACCGACCTTGTGCTGCAGCCTCTTGGGCAGGAAGAGGATGGTGCCGTCGAAGGCGTGGCACCGGCCGATCAGGTCCTCGTGCTGGAAGAGCAGGGCCGAGCGCAGGCGGCGGGCCTCCATCAGCGGGCTGTAGTCGATGTGGTACTGGTACAGCGCCCACTGCGGCCGCGACGTCAGCCGGAAGTGGTTGGTGCTCAGCCTCACGATGATGCCCGAGGAGCCTGGGAGGCGAGT